CGGTGTCAGTGTGAGTCCAGGCCAGAGTGGGCGGTGTCAGTGTGAGTCCAGGCCAGAGTGGACGGTGTCAGTGTGAGTCCAGGCCAGAGTGGACGGTGTCAGTGTGAGTCCAGGCCAGAGTGGACGGTGTCTGTGTGGGGACAGCCAGCCACGGAGGGGAGGGGGCCCTGCAGGCCCTAGATAGTCTTGGGTTTGCTCCCCTTTCAGATTTATTTTTTTGAGACAGAGCCTTGCTCTATCACCCAGGCTGGAGTGCAGTGGCCTCGGCCCATTGCAACCCCTGCCTCCCGGGTTCAAGCAGTTCTCCTGCCTCAGCTTCCTGAGTAGCTGGGATTATAGGCACGCGCCACTATGCCCAGCTAATTTTTGTATTTTTAGTAGAAACCATGTTGGTCAGGCTGGTCTTGAACTCCTGACTTGGTAATCCACCTGCTTCGGCCTCCCAAAGTGTTGGGATCAGAGAGTGAGCCACCACGCCCGGTCCCATTTTGGTTTTCTGTTGCTGCTTCTGTTACTTGGTGATATTCCCAGGATTCTCCTCCACCTATTTAAAGCCTCTTCCGTTTTAGCCTCCACCCCGATCCCTGCCTTCTTTCCTGTGTGCCTGCAGACGCCTGCGCGGGAGCGACCTCCAGCGGGGTCTCAGCCACAGCATCAAGCACCACTGTTGGCCGCTAGGACCATCTCTTAGGTTGGGGCTTTCTGGCCCCCAGTTGGAAGTTTCTCTGGTCCCAGGGAACCTCCTTCCTGGATGTTTTTGTTGGGTCGGGCTGGGACAGCAGCCAGTTTGAGTCCCCACTGGGTAAGGGTGAGCGAGAGCTAAGGAGAAAGGCATACCCACTCACCCCGTCTTCCTTTCCCCTAGAACTCCGTGAAGGTGATGTACAAGTGCCTGTGGCCAAACTGTGGCAAAGTGCTGCGCTCCATTGTGGGCATCAAAAGACACGTCAAAGCCCTCCACCTGGGGTAGGTGCGAGCCTGGGGCCTCCAGCTAGGGTGGTGTGCAGCGTTCCTCCACCTTGCTGCGACCCTGTAACCCATGGCCCATAGTGCTTTCAGGAATGTGGCTTGCTGGGAACACCCCCTGGGGTCTCTTCCCGGCCCCCTGGGAAAGACATACTGGTGAGCGTTGTTGCTGTTGACGGGAAAGGAGCTCTGGCCGTCTCAGGGATGTCTTCTTGCCTTCCTGCAGGAAGCCAGATGTTTTAGTTCTGGGTAGAAACAGGGTCATTTGGTTCAGTTGCTGGTGAGACCTCGTTTCCAACATGTTTAGTGGCCGAGCACTGCACCACCGAGTCTTCCTCTGGAGAGGGTCTCTGCGAGCCCCGCCCTGGGGCCTCGGCTGTGTTCTGTGCAGAGCGAGCTTGCAGGCTGCAGTGGTAGGAGCTGACTCACAGCCCTGGGGGAGAAAGCGTGACTACAGGCAGGTGGGGCCCACAGAGGGCTCATGGTCGTGCTCAGCGTGGGATGCCTCCTGCCAGAGGAGAGGTTGGCACATGTTCTGGGAGAGGATGAGCTGTAGGTGCCAGGAAAAATAATTCCCCTTGATGTGCAGCACATAATCCTAGTGACACCTGTCAGGACTGGGGCTCCTGGGTGTTCTCTTGGGTTCAGTCCCTGGCTTACTGGGTGGCCTCAAGCAATCACTTCCCTCCCCACCATGATCCCCGCTGGGTTTGAAGGGGGCAGCGTGCCCCTGATAGTGCCACCCCTCCCTCCCACACAGGGACACGGTGGACTCTGACCAGTTCAAGCGGGAGGAGGATTTCTACTACACAGAGGTGCAGATGAAGGAGGAATCTGCCGCTGCTGCCGCCGCTGCTGCGGGCCCGCCTGTCCCTGGGACTCCCACCGCTGAGCCAGCTCCCACCTCCAGTGTGACAGGCCTGCCCCTGTCCGCTCTTCCACCACCTCTGCACAAAGCCCAGTCCTCCGGCCCAGAACACCCTGGCCCGGAGTCCTCCCTGCCCTCAGGGGCTCTCAGCAAGTCAGCTCCTGGGTCCTTCTGGCACATTCAGGCTGACCATGCGTACCAGGTATGGGGTGGGGTGCGCTGGAGGCCCAGGCTCGAAGCTGACTCATCACGGGCCAGCCTGATCATAGGCCACCGAGCACCCTGATGGAAGGCTGAGCCCTTTGGCTAAATTGCTAATCTCCTCCTCTACAAAGAAACAAAAGGAAACTGATTTCACTGCTCCAGAAATGTGGGAATTCCTGGAGTTCCACATCAGCAACCATCCTGAGTGGTTACTAGAAATCTAGCGGAATCCCAAACTGGGGGATGGATTTGGGCGGGGGAATTGTCACACCTCTGCTTATAAGAGAGGCTGGAGTAGTGGAGTTGGGCTTTCCACAGTGATGTCTGGGTCCTAGAATTGTGTTCCATGGACAAACAGTCCAGCACACACGTTTGGAATACTCACTACAGGCCGAGAATTGGACTAAGTAAGCTTTTCAGGTAGAAGAAGGTTTAGCCCCTGCCCTTGTGGAGGGCGTGGTTCATATCGAGAGAGAAAGGCATGTGTAACTGTGGGTAATTATAACTGGTCAAAGTACTAATTACTAGAGGCATGAGGTGTTGTAGATACCAGAGGGACCAACCTCTTAAGCCCGTGTGGATGAGAAATCACAGAGGCTGACATTTAGGACGATCTTTGCGGCACGTAGCAGGTACTCAAGAAATACGAAGCCTGCTGTGTGCTGGTGTTCTTAAAATCCTTTTGCACCTATTTTATCAATCTCTGGGCCAGTTTGCAAATTAGTTATTAAAAGCTATTGCTTCCAATGAGAAAGCCTTTACGAAACGAGCCAGCTCTCCTTGTTAGAAGAGTGGCCACTTAGCAACTTCATGTTTGGCCCGCTTCCAGCCCGAGGTGACCTGTGGGGCCCAGACACGTGGCTGGCGTTTTCACAAATAGCCCTGACCCTGGATACCCAAGAGCAGGCTGCTGCTTTCCAGCCGTTGCTGGGGGATCCCATGTCTTATCCCAGCCCTGCCCCTGGATACAGAAGCCTTGGGGCCTCTCTTGGCACCTGCCATGGCATGTTCTTGGTAGGCGATCCGGTTGAGAAGTTAAATCTTCTGCAGTGATTAGCTCATGAGGCTGGCACGTAGACGAGCTTGGAGGGAAGGGTTCCAGGGTGAGATTGGCGCCTCGCAGTCAGGAGGCTACTTCAAAGCGTTGGGTGCTCCAGTGTTGCCCTTGGGAAAGCCGAGTGTGTCCCAGAACGTTCTGATCATTGCACGTATGCAGAGCTGTGCCTTCTGCTGCTGCCCTGAGGCTGTGGGGATTGTGAGCAGACTCCAAATGCCTCCTGAGCTAGAGTCCCGGCTGACGCCCTGGTCTTCCGCAGGCTCTGCCGTCCTTCCAGATCCCCGTCTCGCCCCACATCTACACCAGTGTCAGCTGGGCTGCCGCCCCTTCCTCTGCCTGCTCCCTCTCTCCGGTGAGTGTGCCGGCAGCTCGGCTGGGGCTCGGTATGGCTGAGGGCTGTCCCGCACATCCCAGGGCTGGAGGCCCTCCCTCAGGCACAGGGCACGCGGCCACAGGTCAGTGTGGCCATCTTGCCTTCAGCCCCCAAACGTGTTGAAGATCTCTTTGTGCCGCCCCCTCCCCGGCACTCCTCATTTGGCCACAGCCCCTCAAGGTGGTGGAAGGAGGTGCTTGTAGAGGATGCCCAGAGCAAGCAGGTTTCTTGCCAAGAAAATCAGGCGAGGCTGGGGTCAGTGCCGGTGCCCATCAGCCCCCAGTGCCCGTGAGTGTTTTAGGATTTTAATGCTGAGGGGAGAGGAAGGGGGAGAATGTGGAGGCCGTGTGGGATGGGTCAGAAATCTCGAGGCCAAAGGGGCAAGGGCCGTAGGTGGACCCCAAACTCAGATCAGCGGGCAGTCGTTTTGAACTCTGCCTAGCAGGCACTGGTCTTGAGTTTATCCCGCAGGGCGGTGTCATACTGTAAATCACAATGCCAGTGTGCCACTGAGGCAGTTCGAGGCTTCCAGGCATGGCAGCTCCATCCAAGTCCCCTACAGGGAGAACCTCAGAGGGGGCCAGGTCCGGTGGCTCCCCTGTCCTTGTCCTTGGCTGGGTCCTGACTGTGGTGTGAAGGCCTGCGCCTTCCTCACTCTCCTGCCAAGAGCTCCCCATCTGCTGGAGTGTCCTCCCTGAGAAGGCACAAGGCCTCCTGCACCAGAAGGAGCTGGGGACGTGTGGCTGCCTGCCTTTTTCCTGACTGTCCCATGTTCATGGCTCCTCTCCCCATGCCCAGGTCCGGAGCCGGTCGCTAAGCTTCAGCGAGCCCCAGCCACCAGCACCTGCAATGAAATCTCACCTGATCGTCACTTCTCCACCCCGGGCCCAGAGCGGAGCCAGGTGAGATGTCCACTGTTGTCCCCTGCCTTCTGGTTTCTGTGCCCTGTCTCCAGTGGCAGGGACTCCGACCCCACCCAGGTGAAGTCACCAGGGTTAGTCCCCAGATGGTGGATGCCCCGGATGGGACGACCGTTTGGTCAGAGGAGCCTCTGGGCCCTGGTCCTGGTGGCTTTTGCCGGGATCTGCCCCTCCGGCTTCTGCTTATTCTCCCATCCCCGCTCGGTCCACCACCTGGGTGGGACTCTACTTGCATTCCTCTCTTTCTGCAGAAAAGCCCGAGGGGAGGCCAAGAAGTGCCGCAAGGTGTACGGCATCGAGCACCGGGACCAGTGGTGCACGGCCTGCCGGTGGAAGAAGGCCTGCCAGCGCTTCCTGGACTGAGCTGGCCTGCAGCCTCTGCTCCGCTCCTGCGCTGCCGGCAGCCGCTGACAAGACGCGGAGGGTCACCAGCTCTCGGCAGACGCCGAAAGAGAAAGAACGGCAGCGCGGAGCTTGGGCTCTGTTGGCTAAGGTGTAACACTTAAAGCAATTATCTCCCATTGCAGGAACATTTTATTTTTTAAAAAAAGAAACAAAAATATTTTTTTCCCTCTAAAATAGGAGAGAGCCAAAACTGACCAAGGCTATTCAGCAGTGAAGCAGTGACCAAAGAATTAACTGCCCTCCATTTCCCACGGCACCCCCGCTCTGGGGGATTAGCTCGTGCGTAGCAAAAGAGGGAACAGCTCGTTCTGCTTCCTGCTGAGTCCGTGAATTCTTTGCTTTCTCAACTCTTCCAGAAAGGACTGTGAGCAAGATGCATTTACTTTTCTTAAAAAAAAAAAAAAAAAAAAAAAAAAAATGAGTTTCTGGCTGATGGGTGACTCAGAGTGCAGGACTCCCTGGCTGGGGGGCGGAAGAGGGGTTTGCTCTTCTTGGAGGGTACCTCCTGCCCCCTGTCTGAGCACCCTGCACGGAAGTCAAAGGAAAGCCCTTTCTTGGTGACAGCGACTTAAATCTGGGTTCCTTCAGACATTGGGTTGCACCCCAACAAATATTAAATGGCTTCTTCTCAAAGCCCAGAGTAAGAGATTTTTTAAAAGACTGTCGCCAAGTAGCTGAGCCGAAAGGCTGATCAGAATTCTCTTTTTGAAATGTGGCAGTTAAACACTACCTTGAGCATTCTCTCCTCTTTGGTTGAGGAAGTCCGTGAGGGTTTGAGCATCTGGAAACTCTCTGCTCTCACCCGAAGAAGCGCCCTCCTGCCGCCGCCTCCCTCCGGTTGTGGAAAGGACACCTCAGAAATGCTGTGTTTTCTTTTATGATGTATTCAGAAGCCTTTGCTGGTTAAAGTTTCCTTTTATTTGGGTGGCCGGGAGAGACCCAGGGAGGTCCTGGAGGGTCCTTTCTGTCTCCTGGCCCTGCCAAGGGATGTCCCCATTGCTGTTTGCTGCCTGAGGATGAAGGCGGTCAAGGGAACCTTGTACCTGTGAGCTTCAGAATGAGGAAATGACCGGAGCGAGACGTGGGTTTGGATCAGTGGCTACTGGCATTTCGGCCCGTGGTGTTTCTGGAGCATGCAGGGATTTTTGGGGGACTGGGCTGCGTGCAGGCCGATGAGTGGAACTGTGCTTGTGGAGGAGGAGGGAGGTCTAGGGAGCTTAGTGCCAGGCCGACCAGCCATGCGTGGAGACAGAGGGAGCCACGCCCAGACCAAGGGGCATGTTTCTGTTTTGGTGTCTCGCTTTCCTCCCTGCGTGACTTACTTGGGGATTCCTCAGGGCTCGCTGGAATGTGACAGTCCACTGCCCAGCCGCCTTGGGAACAATTTCTGGCTTTATGTCCCAGCTGTCAGGGACTCAGGGGAGCCTACCCAGCCACCTCTCCTGGGACAGAGTGTCAGCATCCACCCCTGGGTTGTCATCGAGGCCGTCCTCCCGGTCCTGGGTGAAGATACCTGGATCACCAAGGCTCCCTTGGCCCCTTCATGTGGGAAATAGACGCGTGCTCTGTAAGGCGAGACACTTTGAGTGTTAAGCAATCTGTAGACCTGGCAATAGGTCGGGAAGGGTGTAGTGCCCTAGGTTGGTGACAGAAGAGACAGACACTTAAGCACAGGTGTCTTTGGTGACGGGGTATGTTTTTATAACTTAGTAAAACATGTATGTGGAATTCTGTCTCTTGGTGAAGCTGAAAGCCAGGCCAGCTGAGGTGGCGCAGGGTTCTCCTTCCTGTCCCTTGAACCTCCTTGAGAATTAAGAGCTGGCAGTCAGTGATGGCGTTTCCCAACACCCCTCACTTCCCAGGACGCCCTCCCCCCCTTCCGCTTCCAATCGTCACGGTGAGGTGGGGGAGCGTTCTTGACACGTGGGTACTTCACTCAGGAGGGCCTCCCCCTCCGCTCTCCGTCAGTGTTCACTGCCATCTTGTCTTTAGAAAGCTGTTTGAATTCCTCCCGTCCCCAGTTTGGACCGTGTAGATATAACTGGATATACAGATCTTTCTCTTTGTGAGGCCGTTGGTACACAGGGCAGGAGAGAAAGGAGGAGGAAAGGGAGGGAACCATCTGGAAGCCGCGGTGGTTTTGCTTTGTTCTTGTTCTTTGGTTCTGGTGCTGCCCTCTCCGCCCGTGCTCAAGCCCGCCCTCCTCCTCCTCAGTCGGCAGCCTCCTTGCTTCCCCTCTGCCCGCACTGCCATCCCGTGGCTGTCGTGCTGGTTCTTCACATGTGCTCCTCTGTTCTCGGGGTTGCTCCATTCGTGTCTTCTTGGAGGGTGAGTCTGGCTGGGGAACCGACCCAGTGATCACGCCTGTTTTCTTCATCTTGACTCCCTCCTTTCCAGCCTGACCGGGCAGTGGACGCGGATGTAAGGAGCATGCCGCGGGTGGGCTTTTAGAATTCAACGGGACTGACTTTCAAAGCAGTTATCCTGGCAAACTGTTTATTCCAGCAGTGTGACTTTCTCCCGAACGTTTCTTGGAATCGCCTTCAGAGTCTGGGACTGTGTGTTGAGCAGCCGTAAGGATGCCGGACGCTCCTTTAGTGCCTGGAGAGTCCAGTGAATGACGTCTGTGGCCAGGCGAGGTCCCAGGTGCAAAGCAAAAGGACCATTGAAAGTAAGATAGCTTGGATCGAATCATGTGACTTTTAAACTGGTTCAGAAAGCAATTTTGCAATTGCTTCCTGAAAAGCAATTACAAAAAGAAAAAAAAGTCAAAAANAACAGTCAAAAAGAGCATGGATATACAGAAAAAGAGTCACATTGTCCTCAGGCCATAGTCTCATTTTTTTTTCCACAATGCAAAGAGGACACAGGATAAATGAAAACACAGAGAAAAATTTAGTAGACAGACTCCTATCACCTATCCAAGAGGACAGTAGTTCTAAATGTGAAAATGAAAACAATAAAGCTTCTGAAAGACCATGGAAGTGAATATTTTCTAAATGGCTTTGAGGTTAAAAAATATTTCCCAAACAGATAACAAAAAGCACTAACCAAAGGAGAAACTAATAAATTAGGCTACATTAAAATTAAGAGGTTTCTTTCATTAAAAAAAGACTTAAGAGAGTGAAAAGGCAAGCCACAGTATTTGCAACACATATAATCAGCAAAGGATTCATATAGAATAAAGTACTTCAAACTACCAATAAGAAAAATCCAGAACTCATTAGCAAAAAGTGGCAAGAGACTGAACAAGGATTTTACAAAAGAAGATATCCAAATTTTCAACAAATATATCAAAAGGGGTTAAACTGGGTGGGTGCAGTACCTCACATCTGTAATCCTAGCACTTTGGGAAGCCAAGACAAATGGATCACTTGAGGCCATGAGTTTGAGACCACTCTGGCCACCATGACAAAACCCTGTCTCTACTAAAAATACAAAAATTAGCCAGGCATGGTGGCTCACACCTGTAATCCCAGCTACTCAGGAGATTGAGGCAGGAGAATTACTTGAACCTGGGTGAGCAGAGTCGAGATAGCACCACTGTACTCCAGCCTGAGTGACAAAGTGAGACTCCATCTCAACAAAAAAAAGGAAAAGGTGGTGTGGTTAAACCTCATTAGTAGTAGAGGAAAGATAAAAGATAAAGACATACCTCTACAAACCCATCAGAATTCAAACAATTAAAAATAACAAGAGTTGGCTACTCTTAGGAGCAATAAGCAGTCACAAACTATCGACAGAGTGGAAAAGGATTTAGGTTTATCTGCTTTGTATTCTCTCAAGTTAAAGATACTACATCTAGTGACCCAGCAACTTCATACCTAGATATAAACATGTGTACATATTAACCAAAAGATGTAATCAAGAATATTCATAGAAACATTATTAGTAATAACTGAAAACAATTCAAATGTCCATCAACTGTAAAATGAATAAATTGTGGTACATTCATGTAATGAAACACACTAGCTTGAGTCCTTGGAGAACAATATTCATTCAGATGTGGAGACTCTGATTTGTTGGGAGAAATCTGTCCTGTTACTTTCTGGTCATCGCAGGGGTTCTGACTTTACCAGGGGCAAAAAAAAAAAAAAAAAAAAAAAAAAAAAAAAAGGGAAAAAAAAAAAAAAAAAAAAAAAAAAAAAAAAAAAAAAAAAAAAAAAAGAAGAGGGAGATAAATCCCATCTGTGAATTTGTCTTATTGGCGCCTTTTCTCTCAGCTGCCTTCCAAGTATTATTTTTACTGTTAAAAATTTTTTTTAAAAAATGTGAAATGTAATGGTTTTACAGCTTAACAATATGAAATATATTTTATAAGGAATAAAATGGTACCTTGTCTGATTTAACGTATGCCTGTCCATTGCCCCTTCCCCTGCAGAAAATAAGATTCTCACTGTCCTTGTCCTTGGTGTCACACAGGTGGTAGCATGTCACACTGAAGCAAAGCATGACATCGATTCGCTTATACTAACGGTAGGTAATGCTTCCCAGTGACTGGGCTGAGCACGTCCATGGGTTACCTGTTATATATAACCCGTGAGAGAGGGCTGTCATCGTTCCATTTCCCAGATGAGGAGAGTAAGGCACAGAAGTTAAATAACTTGCCCAGTGTTATAAACTGGGAAATAATGGCACTAGGATTTTAATCCATGCAGTGAGTATTTTCTGCTGCTTTTCTTGACAACGGGGAGCATATTCTTGACTGCATTCCTGAGTCTTGAGCAGCAAGCGAGACAGGAGAAAATCAGTCACACGCTACCTACTGAACACGGTCTGCTCCATCCAGACGTCGGTTCCAGGTGCTGCGATGGCCCAGGTGGCTGGCAGAGCTGGCCTGGGTGGGAAGGCGTCATTCCACCCGGGGCTGGTTTGTGTAGTTTCAGCGGCTGAACTTTGAGAACCACTTAGTGAAGCAATGACAGGTTCCAAGAAGACCAAGTCAGGTACACCAGGCTTGCGGGAGGAAGCTGTGGAAATGTGTTTCAACGTTCAAGGTGTATTTAAAATTAGTTCAAGGTGCTGGGCTGGGGGGGGTGGGGCAGGCCTCCTGCCAGGATCCTTTCTGTACTGAGTCGTCGTCCTGGTCTGGTCGGGAGAGGCAGGAACTGTGGCAACAGACTCTGGGGAAGAGGGAAGGCAGGGAGGCTGTGAGGAGCTTTGGGGAGTGTGAATGTCTCGGGGTGGATTGCAGGGACCCCTTATCTTGCTGGCCAGTGGGGGTGTCATGCTCAGAAGATGCAGACACTTCATTATGGCATGAGCCAGCCACACCCAGCAGCCTGGAAAGCAGTTTGTCTTTTTCCCTCCTTTTTGCCTTTTTTCATATCTTGGGGGTGCAGTGAGGGACTTCCTTCTCCCCTTCTCTGTGTCCTTGTTCCGGCTCATCCCTCTAAGAAGGCCTTAAATAGAACGATCTGTTCTGCATTTGCCAAAGCACTCCCCACCCCCCAAAGTTAGCTACCTGCCCTCTCCATTTGCAGCTCACCCCCAAACCCTACCTTTGCAGCTGCCTCAGTGGGTCAACCCCCCAACTCTCCAGCTTCTGATTGGGTTTGGCTGGAGTTTGACAGTCAGGAGGAGAGGGAAGTGGGGGCATTGAATCCTGGCCGCCACAGTGTGTAAGTGGCTGGATTTCTCTACTGAAAGCTCCGGAGAGCTAGAGTCCTTGTGGGTCCAGGAACTCCTTTCCTCCTCCCAGGGCTCCCCAGCTCCCACCAGAGCACCCTCCATCCCTTGCTGATCTTCTGTAACCCTGCCCACTTGTGTAGATGGTTAAGTCCCTGACGGACCCGGTCTGGGGTTGCCTGGTGTTTCTCGGCTGGACTCTTTGACAGTGGCACACCCTAATGTGTGAAGCTGGAGATCGAAGTGGCGTCAGCAGGTTTCTCTCTGCCCTGTTCCTTCCTGTGCATCCCGGTCCACTGGGCCCAAACCAGCGGGGCCAGCACCACCTGGAGCTTGTTGAAAAGGCAGATTTCTACCATCTGAAATGGGGTGGGGCCAGCAGCCTGTGCCTCTGTGGCGCTGATGCGCGCAGGGGTGTGAGAGCCCTGCCCTCTCTCCGGCCTTCCGTTCATGCAGGCGTGTGCATTCATTTCCTCACCGGCTGTGCTGGGATCTGGGTGCTTTGCGCTTTTTACCTCTGCCCCTCGGGAGCTGCAGCACTGGTTGTGTGTGTGTGTGTGCGCGCGTGTGTGTGCAGAGCCTGCTTCCGTCACTTAAAAACAGCAAACCAATTTATTAACCATTTGCTCAGTAGAAGTTTAATGGAGAAATCATTGTTTAAAACAATCAGTCAAAAAGAACAGCTCTTTTACAAACAAGTTATGGCAGTGGTGAGTCAAAGCCCCAGGTTCGATTTCCTATTCCTTTCACCTGCCCCAGAAGGGGGACAAGGCGGCTGAGCAGGAGAGACCAGGCCATCGCAATGGTAGCTGGAGGAATTACAAAAATACACTCTGATGTAGCAACAGGGCTGTGGTGAAACATGCCGGGGACTGGGGAGGAACAACCAGACGGGGAGGTTCGGGAGGCGAACGAAGCCTGCTGGGTCTGCAGGTCCTCAGTGCCTTGGGGAAGAAGGAATCCTGGTTCCCAGGCGGCAGGTCTGGGGCTGGACACATGCTGTTTGGGGGATCACCTGGACGCCTGCGGAGACAGAAATGATTACAAAATAGCAAACCTGTTGGTTTTTCTGAACTTTTTCTATTCCCCCTAGAGACTGAAGCAGTGAAAGGGAGGCAAAGAAAAGCTATCAACCCAAAGAAACTGTTTCCAACATAGCCAGAGGGGTCCTCCAGCTCCTCCACGTCTGCTCCCCAAGCCCCGGCACCACTGGCCGGACTAATACACTAAAGGGGAGTCCACGGGCTGTGAAAGGCACAGTGACAAGCCCCTTCCGGGGAACAGCTCTCCCTGGTGTTCAGAGCCCATGCGAAATACCGTCCTTGTTCTCTAGTCCTTTTTTTCCAAGTGCTCTTTGAGCCTGATGGCACACCTGAGCATGAATGAATGTGTTCAGTTTCCACTGCCCAGAAGGAGCACGGCCTGAGGGCAGCGGAAAAGAGGAAGGCAGTATAGGGTCAGGGGAAAGGAAGGCAGACTCAAGCCCAGCTATGACAAGTTCTGTGTAGAGGTGGGCCTGCACCCCAGCACCTTTCCTTCCTAGGACACCATTATACTTTCTGAATAGGGTTTTTTGTTGTTGTTGTTGTTTGTTTGTTTTTAGATAAAGTTTCTCTCTTGTTGCCCAGGCTGGAGTGCAGTGTAATGATCTTGGCTCACTACAACCTCCGCCTTCTGGGTTCAAGGGATTCTCCTGCCTCAGCCTCCCAAGTGGCTGGGACTACAGGTGACCGCCACCACGCCTGCTAATTTTTGTATTTTTAGTAGAGGCAGGGTTTCACTGTGTTGACCAGGCTGGTCTCAAACTCCTGACCTCAGGTGATCCACCCGCCTTGGCTTCCCAAAGTGCTGGGATTACAGGTGTGAGCCACCGCACCCAGCCCTGCATAGGGTTCTTTATCCCATTTCACTTCTTCCCAGCCTTCTCCCTGTCGATTAGTATTAGATATCGTAGACGTCAAGGACAGCATTGGTAACAAGAGTCCCCCAGTATGCAGACATCTTCATCATGTGTAGGGCAGGTTGGGGTGTATGTACGTGGATGAACACAAGGTTGAAGCCACCTGTCAGACTCCCTCATAAATAACATCCATATTGGAACTCACCCACCATGCATGTAGGGGAGAAAGAAACAGAGAGATGGTTGCAGAAGGAGAAAGGAGAGTCATCAGTAATACCCCAGTGAGCTGGTTAATGTTTCCAGTCTCCATCCAGAACTTGAATGTGAGCAGAGCCGCCGACAGAAGCTCCTTCCCGGCTTTGTTTCAGTGCGTCTCAGTTGGAAGCATAATAGAAGATTAGAAAAACCAATGGCCTGGATGGAGGCTCAAATCATTTTTTAAAAAATAAATGGATCCTGTTAATGGGCCTGATTTTCAACTGTGTTTAAGTAAAGAACATCGTCATCGTTCAGAATGAGACACGAGCTTCAGTGTCCCTGAAGAGACGCTTTAAAGAGCAATCTCTTTAAGATTTGAAAGAATTCAACCCATGCTACTTCTGAATGATTTGTGTTACGTGCTGTGGAGATATGGCTTAGAAAGAAACAGGAGGCTTGTCCAGGATCCAAGAGGATGGCTCAAAAGCAGTGCAGGTTAATTTGGGGCCTTTGGAGATGAGTCATCCTGCTAAAATAAACACATCAGCCTTCTCTTCACAACTTAATACATGTGCCCGTGTTTGGTAACGGGCCTGTGGTGAACATGCTGGCCTACCTGCAAAGGGGCCGTCTCTGTGCTCAAGTGTGGGCACCAGACGTTAGCATGTGCACTCATATATCTTCATGAAGGTTGTTAGTGACACGGCTGCCTCTGACTATGGGATGCAACATGAAACGGCACAGGGAGACATTTTTCTCTTATGCTGTGATTCAGGGAGAAGCCCCACTTGGGTCATGTTTTGGGGTAATGTGGATGAACTGACTGGTTCTTTGTGTTAGGGCAATGATACAGTGTGGAAGTGTGTCCTCTTCCAATTTCATGTTGAGATGTGGTCCCCAATGTCGGAGGTGGGCCTAGTGGGCGGTGTTTGGGTCGTGGAGGTGGATCCTTCAGGAATGGCTTGGTGCCCACCCCACGGTAGTGAGTTCATGGGCGATGTGGTTTTTAGAGAGGCTGGGACCTCCCCTCTTCCCTCTCGTGCCCCTTCTTGCCATGTGGCATGCCAGCTCCCCTTCTGCCATGAGTAAAAGCTCCCCGAGGGCTTCACCAGAAGCAGATCCTGGTGCTTTGCTTCTTGTATAGACTGCAGAACCGTGAACCAAATAAACTTTGTTTATAAAGTACCCAGCCCCAGGTTTCCCTTTATAGCAATGCAAAATAGATGAATACAGCAAGTTTCTTAGCTCTTTAAGGAGATGTGTAGGATTCTGCAGATGATCGTATTCCCATATGCAAATTAAGGCACATGGCCTTGATGGGGGGGGACTTCTCCAAATTTTCAGAAAATTCTGTGCTAGTTAGTCAGGGCCACTCAAAGTGACGTATTGGTTGATGGCCTAAGGAAGGTTGGGTTTTGAATGACCAGGTAATCAGGTGTCTTTGTTGTTGTTGTTGTTGAGATGGGAGCCTTGCTCTGTTGCCCAGGCTGGGTGCAATGGCACCATCTCGGGTCACTGCATCCTCTGCCTCCTGAGTTCAAGTGATTCTCCTCCCTCAGCCTCCCCAGCAGCTGGGATTACAGGTGCACGACATCACACAGCTGATTTTGTGTTTTTAGTAGATATGGGGTTTCTCCATGTTGGTCAGGCTGGTCTTGAACTCCTGACCTCTGGTGATCCGCCCACCTCAGCCCCCCAAGGTGCTGGAATTACAGGCATGAGCCACTGCGCCCGGCCTCAATTAGAGTCTTTGATGTATATTATTAGACATGTAGACTTGTATCAGGTGCCTGACAGGGTAGAAACAGAGCAGAAGAAAGAGAACAAGGAAGAAAAGACAGAGAAATAAAAGCAAGCAAGCCAACAAAAGCATAACCAAAATGGCACACTGGAAAGAAGCGAAATGGAGGAAAGAAGATGAACCCCTTTAGTCCGTATTCTAGTAGCTACTAGGTCCATTGGCCAAATTCTCCATGTCTTGCTCAGTAATGATACCATTGACCACAAGGAATCAGTCCCTCTCCGGCAAGGTGGCAGGATGGGCAAATGGCTTGTGGACGGAGGAAGAGCAGAAACCCCAACTCCTGATCGTAACAAGAACTCTTGGCCAGGTAAAATGGGAAACTTAAATGTTTCCACTGAGCCAGGCACCCCGAGACCTGGGGAAAGGCGAGGGATAGGTCAGCCGTCTTTGAAGGCGAAGCAGCACCATCATAACTATAGTTATTGGACTCTGCAAATGGCTGAGAGAAGGTTCTGCTCCTGGTGTTTAGAGAGACCGTCTAGAGGACAGGTGAGCTGACTGGTTGCCATGGCAACCGGATGGGAGTATGGGTCCACTTAACTGTCCCCATGGTAACTAAGCTTCTGGGGAGTGATAGAGGAATTAGTTATCTTAACATACTACTCTTATCCCCATGGTAACCAGTCTTTAGCCAGGAGTGGTCGGCTTCACAATCAGAGGAAAATCTTTGCTCCCTAGAGAAAGGGTGGGCTGACCCCTTGAGAGGGGGTGTGTGTGTTTGGGGATAATCCTCGAGGGTGTGTGTGTGTGTTTGTGTGTGGGGGGATGATCCTTGAGGGGGTGTGTGTGTGTGTGTGTGAATGAATGTGCTTCCAGGCCTGGGAGCAAGGTTAAGATGGTGTGTGAGGTCTCTCCTTGCCCCCAGTTTATTGGTGCCCAACTCACTCATGGGTTGCAGTGGCCGGTACAGCTGGGAGGAGCGCCCCTTCTGGCTACACATTACCATTCTGGTGCAGGGTGCGCCGGCGCTGGCTGGACTGCATGCTCAGGACCAAGTACTGCCTCATAAACTCACTGAACCGCTTCTGGTTGGCCAACTTCCGGGCCGACTTCCGGGCCCCAGTGAAGCCCCCAAATCTCTTCTGCAGCTGCTTCTGCTGCATCTCAGCAGCCTCCTCCATGCCAGGCTCAGGCTCTTCAGGCTCCTGGAACAGGCTCCGGACACGGGGCATTCGCCGCAGATGCTGCATCTCTGAAGCTCTGGGCTGGTAGAGAGCAGCCGCCACGTGCTCTGGGGTGGCCGGGCTGAGCTGCCAGGAGCTCCTGGCCATGACCTTGGTGCATGGAGTCCAGAGGGGGCTGGGGAAGACCTTCTCTTCACACTCCAGGATGCACAGCTGCAAAGATAGGGGTGAGAGGAGGGGAGAAGGAACGAGGACCTCTGTTAGTCCAAGGCGAGGGAGGAGATCCGGCCCTCTGTCGGCTGTACCTGCACCAATGCAAGGGCTTCCGAAGCATCTAATGTATCAAGTAACGTGCAGCAGTTTTACACAGGTTTTTGGGTTCGCAGAACTTCAGAATTGGAAACAGTGAATCATCTGACCCAGCTCCATCATTTTATAAAGAAGCAGGGCTCAGAGAGGTGAGTGTAACCTACTCTGGTGTCACAACACATTTACAATAGCCAGTTAACACAGGATCGGTGTGCTTAGCACCACACCCTTGTTATATCTTTGATTAGGTTTTTGGAGCGGAGCTCAGCTCATGACCGTCACCCATAAAGAATTTTATTTTGTTCTCTCCTCAGGCTTGTGGAAGGTCAGATGGGTTAAAGAAATTGGGGATGTGAAAGTATGTAGTCAAATCTGCATGTCTATTTTAAGGTCACTGTGTAAAAATCTACCTGGGTGTTGTTAATTTTTCAGCCGGCCCACAGCAGTCATCACTATCTGTGTATAATTTATAGCAAATGGGGGTCAAGACCCTGTGGGGTGTAGGCAGGCTGGACGTGTGGGGCTGAAACTGTGATCAGTTCCAGGTAAGGGCAGAGATGCCATCATCAGATGTGAGCCCAGCAGACCCGCCTGGCCCCTGGGAACGCTCTGCTCTGCCTCTCCTGCCCACCAGCTGGACCACACTGTTTCTCTACCCACTCTTGGCTAGTTCTGACCTTGGTTCCCCACCTCCCATGTTCTTGGTTCTGATTGGGCCTCCTGGAAGCCTCTGCCCCCAGCTTTTCTTCCCATTTGCTATTTTGGATTTACCCCTAATTTCAGTCCAGGTTTCTGGTCTTAGCCAGCTGGAAACCCCACTTCCACCTGACCTTGGGGCTGTGAGTCAGCAGGCAGAGCACCTCATCGTAGCATGGAGCTTCTGCCTGCCTTCCAGGGCTTTCTGGGTCAGAGGATGCAACTGACCAGCCTGTATCCATCTTCCCTTCTCCTTATGCACAGAACACTGTTTTATTCCTAAAGGCAACACGTACGTTTCCCACGCTTCCTTACAGCTGTAAGTAGCTGACGACATGAAAAAATGGAAGTGTAATCCCAGCACTTCGGGCGGCCAAAACAGGCAGATCACTTGAGGCTAGGAGTTTGAGACCAGCCTGACCAACATGGCGAAAACCCTTCTCTACTAAAAATACAAAAATTAGATGGGCGTGGTGGTGGGTTCCTGTAATCCCAGCTACTGGGGAGGCTGAAGCAGAAGACTTGCTTGAACCTGGGAGGTGGAGGTTGCAGTGGGCTGAGATCGTGCCGCTGTACTCCAGCCTGAGTGAACAGAGTGAGACTGCATCAAAAAATAAAAAAATAAAAGGAAGTGATCAGGGATCAGGTCGGGTTTCCAAGAAAGTAGGTGGCTGACGTAGGCGGGAAGAGCATCCTGTTTTCCTCTTCCTCCAACTTTTTCTTAGAAGGTGGACATTTTGGCTGACACTGTGTTTGCCCTCTAGAAACCATGCAGCGACTCAGAGGATGGGAGTCGTGGCCTAGAAGCTGCCGACCGGCAGGGAAGAGGAGACTGGAGCTGCCACCGCAGCCCTGGGCCGTCCCCGCCTCACTCCTTGTGAGGAACGGAATCTCTGTCGATTTCAGCCACTGTCACTTTAGGTGTTTGTTACTAGCAGGTGAATTTCATTCTGATCTGATACTCTCATCTTTCTGCTTGGCCTTTCGGTCCCTGTCTCTGAGTGGCACCCCATTCCCCAGTTGACTCAGATTTCAAGCCCTGGGCATATCTTTTCCTCCTCTCTCCCCGCCCCTGTCCCGCCAGTCTACAGGTCTGTCCCTCCTCCCACTCCCTCTGCCACCACCTAAGAGCCTCTTGGGTGGAGCCGGTTCCTCACTCATCTCTGCATCTCTGGTCTTTGCCACTGTCATCAATGTGGTACCCCTGGCAGGATGCCCTTCCCGAAGAATAACTGATCGTGCCATTACCTTGCCCACAGCTAATTGTTTGTCTTATCCATAAAACAGCACCGAACTCTTAAGCAGAGCATTCAAATCCCTCTACCACCTGGCCCAGCCCATCATCTACGTCTTATTTCTGATTCTTCATCACACACCCCCTGAGGCCTATGAGGCTGTTCCTGGACCTTAAATACCACAAAGCTCCTCCCACCCGCATGCCTTTCTCTCTGTCCCTTAGATGCAGTGACCTCCTTGCATCCTTTCCTCCATCCTTCGGGACCCCGACAAGCTCCAGTGCTGCCCCTCTCTGATACCTTCTAGTTCCCTGGCAAGAATCGCTCTCTCCTGCCTTTGTGTTCCTACAGAACTTTGTATTCCTCTTGTGGAAATGTTAATGTTTTATGTCATTAAATTGCAATACCTTCTCTTGTTTTTTTTTTTTTTTTTTTTTTTTTTTTTTTTTTTTTTTTTTTTTTTTTTTTTTTTTTTTTTTTTTTTTTNTGGTCTTGCTCTGTAGCCCAGGCTGGAGTGCAGTGGCACGATCTCGGCTCACCGCAACCTCCGCCTCCCAAGTTCAAGTGAGCTTCCTGCCTTAGCCTCACCAAACAGCTGGGACTGCAGGCGTATGCCACCACACCAGGTAATGTTTGTATTTTTAGTACAGACAGGGTTTTACCATATTGGCCAGGCTGGTCTTGAACTCCTGACCTCGTGATCCACCCGCCTCAGCCTCCCAAAGTGCTGGAATTACAGACATGAGCCACTGCGCCCAGCCAATTGCACTGCCTGCTAAGGCAGAATATGACAAGTTAGGGACCACATCTTACTCATGTTTGAATCCCTTGCAGGAGTCTTCTTCCAGTAAAGAGTAGGGTTTCAGTAGAGGTTTATTGAACTGAGCTGAATGAATCAAGAAGTCACTTTATATTTAGCTAAGAGTGCAAAAGGAAGGGAAGGAAAAGAGAGAGTCCCTGGAGGAACAGGGGTTGCAGCTAGTTGCGACCAGGACCGGAACGCCCGCAGCCCTTAGCATGCGCACCGCTGCAGCAACTCCTGTTGCCTTGCCGCCACCCTTTGCTTATCTGATTACTCGGCTGTCCCATTAGTCCAGGATTCTTTTATTCTTTTTTTTTTTTTTTTTTTTTTTTTTTTTGGAGACAGAGACCACACCTGGTCTAAAGTGTCCCACACTTTGATGTGAGTCCCAATCATCTGCAGAGCTTTTAAAAACAGAATTTCAAGACTCAACTAAATCTCTGAGGAATAGAACCAGGGATTAAAACCTGTTTTTACAAAGGAATTAAAAACTTAATTTTACAAAGGTTAGGTAATTCCGATATTTGCTTGGGTTTGCAAATCACGAGTGTAATTCAATCTTTGCATTTTATGATGCGGTTCAATACTTTGTCTAAAACGACACGGTTAGGTAACAGTATAACCTGAGTTCTACTCAAAGATGCCTTGTGGCCCAACCCAGACGTCTACTCAGCTCTGGGTTCTGTGGGCTTGCAATATGAATTAGCGGCAAGTCATGCAAGAAGGATTCTACGAGACCAAGAGCTGAGGTTTAGATGGGCGCATTGCCCATATTCCAATGGACTGGAGGGGGCGGACGGGGACAGGTCTGGCAGGAGTGTTCCTTTCCTTCCCTGGTAGGGTTTCCGAGGAGCAACCTGTCCAAGTCTACCTGTTAGTCACAGGAGGTGACACTGGCCCCTAGTTTGGTTTTTCTGAGCATGCCTTTTTCATTTAGCTTTTGCTCAGAGATATTTAACGCATGGAACCTAGTTGCTGACAGAACGACCTTAGCAGGAAGATGCAGGGAAGTGCTTTTTCACACTTGCGATGTCACTGATTATAAAACATGCTAGGTAACTTCCACAGATAGGGAGGGCTGCCTTAAAAACAATGGAGTTGCAAACTTCTGGAGTATTCCATAAGAATTGCTACTGTACTGGGCACAGTGGCTCAGGCCTATGATCCCAATACTTTAGGAGGCCAAGGAAGGAGGCTCCTTTGAGTCCAGGAGTTTGAGAGCAGCCTGGGCAACGCAGGGAGACCTCGTCTCTATAAAAATAAAAATGTTAGTGGGGTGTGGTGGAGCATGCCTGCAGTTCCAGCTACTTGGGAGGCTAAGGTGGGTGGATTGCGTGAGCCTGGGAGGTCAAGGCTGCAGTGAGCTGAGATTGCTCCACTGCACTCCAGCCTTGGCAACAGAGCAGAACTCTGTCTCAAAGAAAAAGAATACTACTGGAGTGAGTTAGAATGCAAATTTTTAGCCTACGGCATTGGAGATTCTGATTCGCTAAGTCAAGGTGGGGCCCAGAAATTTGCCTTTTTAGCAACAGCCCCAGTGATTCCGAGGCTGGATGATACTTGGAGGAGACCTGCTTTGGAATTTTCTCTGAGGAGGAAGGAGCCACCATGGAACGTGGCGGTTATAGACTCTTACAGAGAAAGGGTCACTTGGGTCTGTATTTAGCCTGCTCCTGAAATACTTTGAAGAAAACCAGCCAGAATCAATGTCTAGTATATTCTTTCAGATCAGAATCCTCTTGAGTTAGTACTTGACAGAAGTGGATCTCAACTGGGAGTGATTTTGCCCACCCAGGGACCATTTGGCAATATCTGGAGATGTTGGTTGTCAGAACTGGGGTGTGTGTGTGTGTGTGTGTGTGCGCGTGCGTTAATGGCACCAAAGTGCCCAGGACAGCCCCACAACAATTCCCCAGTCAAAAGTGCCCATAGTGGCAAGTGTGAGAAACTCAGCTCTGGAAAGTCAACAGGGATGCAGAGAAGTGTGGTGGGCCCTGGGAAAGCCATCGAGGCAGAGCAGTGGAGCTGGAGCCGGCCTTTGAGCACGCTTGATCCAGTCCTGGCAGAATAGGAGCCCCAAACTGCCTGTGGAATTGTTCTGGTCCGTCAGTTTACAGAAACAGGTCGGAGAGCTGTTAAATCTGGAGGTGCTTATCTAGATCTTCTGTGAGCCCCTGGGTTTCTAAGCCCAGATGGTGATTAGATTTTGCGTCAGTCAGAGAAAATGAAATTCTGTGTTAAACCAGATGCCACAGTCCATACCCAGACTTGATGCACTGTTAGATCAATTAGATGCTAACAAAATCACCTTAATTCTTGATTTAGGAGAGGGTTTTGGGCAGATAGGAGGAAGCCAAATTCACAACAGCATTTGTAGCACCAGATGGGCATAGGAGCTTAATGCCTGACCCTCTGGTGTGCGGAACTCACCAGCCTTTTTCCAGAGATGGGTTAATGGCTTACTAAGTGAGCTGGACACGTTTTGGTAGCCCATTCTGATGGCATTGCTCTATTAAGCCAGAATGCGTATGGGCATCTGGAGCCTCGGAGTGTTGCCAAATTGATCCGTAAAGCTGGGCTTATGGGGAAAGTGAGTGAAGGGCCATTTGGGTGTCTGGGCTCAAAGATTAGGGTACAAAGTGGGAAACAGGCACATGAACCCATTGGAGATAAGCTCATAAACGTGGTCAAGTTTCTGCCACTAAAGAGTTACACCACTTCTGACCGAGAGACATTTGGGAGTTACTTGCTTTGGGAGGTCCCGCTAGAGTATCCGAGGACAAACACAGCAGATGAATGGCATAGAAGACAAATGTATAAGGAACTCCTACTGCAAGTCACCTCATGAGAGGTTTCATTTAATGAAGATCGAACTACCAGAAGCTAGTTTCTTTTGCAACAGAATTTTAGGGAATTATATCGATTGACTGAGACAAAGTCTCACTTTGTCCCCGAGGCTGGAGTGCAGTGGCATGATCTTAGCTCACTGCAACCTCTGCCTCCCAGGTTTAAGTGATTCTCATGCCTCAGCCTCCTGAGTAGCTGGGATTACAGGCATGCACCAACACGCCCAGCTAATTTTTATATTTTTAGTAGAGACAGGGTTTCGCCTTTTTGACCAGGCTGTTCTTGAACTCCTAGCCTCCAGTGATCCACCCACTTTGGCCTCCCAAAATGCTGGGGTTGCAGGCGTAAGCCACTGCACCGGGCCAAGTTTTAGGGAGTTTCAGGTAAATTTCCCCATACTCTTATTGGGGATTGGTTGCCTTATTTCTTGTCTCTAAAACCACTTAGTGAGTCCAGTTTTTTCTCTTTGAGCCGATGAAGTAAGTACCATTCACAATGAGGTTAAAGGCCAGGACGTTGCAATGGGTTTGGGTGTGAGTCATTTACCAACCAAGATTGCAGTCTAACAACAAGCCAGCCATACTTGAGTAGTTTACTAGGAGCAGACATAAAAAGTTTCTTGATGAAGCCAAGGACCCAGAGGACCCTGGGAACAGGATGATGTAATTTGAAGGAGGGACTGGGGAAGTGACCCTTGCTGAAATATGAGTCCCCCAGTCAGTCACAGAATGGATGTAGCCCAGGGCTGCCAGATTTGGAAATGGGATTTGAGTGCCTACATTCTAGGCATTTCATTAAACTTAGGTTAAAAGTGAATACAAACTAGAAACAAAACAAGCAGGCAGCCACATCCTCTGGGGGGTGAGGGGGCACTGTGAAGGGTTAGTCCCCCCATTGTGAGGCTTTACGTGTCCGTTTTTTCTGACTTGTTTCTTTTTTTTTTTCTTTTCTTTTTCAAGATGGGGTTTCACCATGTTGGTAGGGCTGGTCTTGAACTCCCGACCTCAGGTGATCCACCCGCCTTGGCCTCCAAAGTGCTTGGATTACAGGCGTGAGCCACCACGCCCAGCCGCTGACTTGTTTCAAAGAAGTAAAGCTAAGAATGTTGTCTAGACCCCAGATATTTAAGATGCTATGGAGAGATGGAGACATGCTCCAAATTTTTGAGTCTCTGAAAGGTGCAAATGTAAAACCTTTACAGAGACTGCAGCAGATGTGCCTAGGAGGAGACTCATGGTCTTAGAATCTTCCAGTTTCCACAGGGATGGGATGTGTTTATTGAGCTGTGCTCTGTGCCACACACCATGCTGCATGCTGGGATACTTGGATCCATCAGCAAAGAAAGTTCACTCTAGGTGGGGAGAGAGAGGCCTGCAGGTATGACTAACAGTCAGAAACTAGGAAGGAGGGCCCACTCCACTGGGGTTAGTGGAGAATCAGTGCAGTTTTCTTACAGGGAACAGTTAATCTGGGATTTGAAGTGTGTGTAGGATTTATGGATGGGGGAGGAGGCCGAGGCCGGCATGATGGCAGGGCAGGAAGAGAAGGCAGGATTTCCCAGGAATTATGGAAAGTGACTGGGAATGTGGGTCTGGAGCCCAGGAGAGAGGAGGTCAGGAGGGTGCTTCTAGGAGTTTTCTGCAGCCTGAGGGGAGCAGAAGGCCTGGGATATATGGGCGGGTTCTCAGAGGGAGGTGAAAAGCAGAGAATCTTGATGATCCTTTATGTGTAGGGAGTGGGGAGAGGACAAGGAACCAACACAGTAGCCAGAGTAGGGAAGAGAATGAAGCACGTGGACAGAGAGAGGGCTGGGGCTCCTGGAGGGAATTATCAGCGGGGTAAGAGCTCAGAGAGAAACATGGTGGAGGAATAAGAGAAGAGGCTTATTGTAACCACTTTACCAAAGGCCAACTGTAGATGATATTCACAGAAAGTAAGAATGTTAATAACATAGCAAATCGATCCTAGTATAATACAGTAAATGAATTGGTTAGCTGGAGATGCCCTGGGTAGTTGAGTCTGGTTGAAAAATGGGCTTGGAAACCACTGAGCCCAGGAGCTTGGAGCTTTGGGTCTGCTTGGTTTTGTCATCTCCTCTGTTACCTGCAGGTAGGAGACACCAGGGTGCATTAGTTCCCCCAGATACTCGTTTCTCCGTTGTATATTTGCCTTAAGGAACTGTGGTGCTTTTGGTTGTTTTGAAAAGTTAAAGGGTTTAAAAGATGGCATCTTTTGAAGAAGTTATGTGACTATAAAATAAAAAACAGTTGAGCTATACTGGATTTAATAGGGGAGGAATAACTAGACTGAAATGTAGGTAGTTGACAAAGCAATTTACTTAATGAAGAAAAAGTTAATATTGGATTTGTATCTTAAGTGGGAAATTTAAAATATAAGAGAGCATTTTGGTACTGAGGGGTTCACTGCTGAATTATCTGAAATATCAAAAATAAACAGCACATGCATGTTCAATGGTTAAACAAATTACATGGTCCTTCTGTATCCACAGGGGATTGGTTTCAGGAGGCTAACTCTGTAGATGCTCGAGTCCCTTATATAAAATGGCTATGCGGCCGGGCACAGTGGCTCACACCTGTAATCCCAGCACTTGAGGAGGCCAAGGTGGGTGGGTCAGTTGAGGTTAGGAGTTCGAGACTAGCCTGGCCAATGTGTGAAGCCCCATCTCTACTAAAAATACAAAAAAATAGCAGGGTGTGGTGGCAGGCACCTGTAATCCCAGTACTCCAGAGGCTGAGATGGAAGAATTGCTTGAACCTGGGAGGTGGAGGTTGCAGTGAGCCAAGATTGCACCATTGCACTCTAGCCTGAGTGACAGAGTGAGACCCTGTTTCAAAAAAAAAAATAATAATAAAACGGCTGTGCATATCCTCCTATATACTTTAAATCATCTCTAGATTACTTATAATACCTAGTATAATGTAAATGCTATGTAGTTGTTATGCTGTATTGTTTTATTTGTATTATTTTTTATTAATATATTATTTTTGATTTTTTTCTGATTATTTTCTATCCATGGTTGGTTGAATCCTTGAATGTGAAACCTGTGGATACCGAGGGCCAACTGTAGACTATGCTCATGGAAATTATAACATGGGAAAAGTGTCTTGGTAGAATACAGGAAGTGAAAAAAAGTAGGATTCTTTCTCTGACTGGTGTAGTTGAGAGTGATTTTAATTTTTCTATTTTTTATACTTGTCTGAATTTGCCAAACTCTCTGAAATGAGTAGCACTATTTCATCCCTGGGAACAACCTGGCATCCTAGGCAGGGCTCTTCCTGCAGGTGGTAAGGTGGAAAGATGGCAGGGTTCTGGGTCGGAAGAGGCAGGTCCAGTCTGCATCTGTTTCCTACAGGCCATGTGATGCTGGGCAAGTCCTGTGACCTCGGGAGAGGCCTTAGCTTCTCTCTCAAAGTCTGCTCTGGAGTAGGGAGGGAGGGGGTAGTCAGGGAGGAGGACAGCCTCTCTGCCTTGCCTCCGGGAGACCTACCTCCAGGTCGAAGCCATCCAGGGCTGGGCGGAGCTTCTCCTGGCATATGAGACAGTCCCTCTGACAACTGCTGAACACACTGGAGAAGAGGCTGAGCAGCAGCAGGTCACAAAGCAGGACTTTCATGGTGCAGGAGCAGGAGCAGGAAGCAGGTGCTGGAATACACAGGAAGAAGCACAGTAGTGAGTACAGCCATTCTCGGGGGTGGGGGGGAGCTGCTCAGGGCCGGAGACCCCAACCCGGGGGATGCAGGAAAGACCCTCCTCTGCTTTCTCTAGGGGGACAGCAGCAGGGGCCTGAGATTCACTTTCCAGAGGTGTAAATTGTCAAGGCCATAGGCGACCCGGTCCTGTCACCCAAGCCGTGTTCACGCACAGGCTTGTTCGTGTCTGGGTTCCTGGGGAAAGTGCCCCCTGTGATTCCTGCCCCCTGCTGGCCTCAACACCACAAGGGCACTTTTGGGAGCAACTGTGCAGTGGCAGAGATGGCTTTCTTGGAAGCTGAAGGCATGGCTTTGCAGCTTACCAGCATGTGACATTAAATCAACCTCTTTGAGCCCTGGTTTTCATAGCCCATAAAAGGGGAACGGTGGCACCTGCCTTGTCAGAGGCCTATTGTGAAGAGGAAATGAGATGTGTAAGGGGAGTTTTACAAAGTGCCATGCAAAAGTCAGAGGAGTAAAACATGAGATTTATTAATGACTCAGTGCCTCAGGAGGATGAAAATCCTCCTGGCCTTCCTGCTACAGCCAGGAATGCCCCCAACCGTCCTACACCTTGAATTCCCTCTTCCTGCATGTCCCTTGTCTCTTATCCCTGCTAGATGTGAGCTAGTACTATGTTCTGTATCTCCCTAAAATTCGTATGTTGAAATCCTAACCTCCAAGGTGATGGAATTAAGAGATGGGACCTTTGGGCCAGGCACAGTGGCTTACGCTGTAATCCCAGCACTTTGGGAGGCCGGGGCGGGTGGATCATTTGAGGTCAGGAGTTCGAGACCAGCCTGGCCAACATGGCAAAACCCAGTCTTTACTAAAAATGGTGTGATGGTGTGCACCTATAATCCTAGCTACTCAAGAGGCTGAGGTGAGAGGATCACTTGAACCCAGGAGGTTGAGGTTGCGGTGAGCCGAGATCATGTCATTGCACTCCAGCCTGGTTGACAGAGTGAGACTCTGTCTCAAAAAAAAAAAAAAAAAGGCCGGGCGCGGTGGCTCAAGCCTGTAATCCCAGCACTTTGGGAGGCCGAGGCGAGTGGATCACGAGGTCAAGAGATCGAGACCATCCTGGTCAACACGGTGAAAACCCATCTCTACTGAAAATACAAAAAATTAGCTGGGCATGGTGGTGCGTGCCTGTAATCCCAGCTACTCAGGAGGTTGAGGCAGGAGAATTGCCTGAACCCAGGAGGCGGAGGTTGCGGTGAGCCGAGATCGCGCCATTGCACTCCAGCCTGGGTAATGAGAGTGAAACTCCGTCCCCCCCCCCCAAAAAAAAGAGAGAGAGAGAGAGAGATGGAAACATGAAAACTTTGGGAGGTGATGAGGTCATGAGACTTAAGCCCTTCTGAATGAGATTAGTGCTCTTATAAACGAGGCCCGAGAGAGCTAGCTAGTTCCTTCTACCACTTGAGGACACAGCAAAAAAAGCCAACATCTAAGAACCAGGAAATAGACCCTCACCAGACACTGAATCTGCAGGCGTCTTGATCTCCAACTTCCCAGCCTCCAGGACTGTGAGAAAGAAATTTCTGTTGTTGATGGGGCGTGCTGGCGCACACCTGTAATCTCAGCACTTGGGGAGACCGAGGGGCAGGCGGATCACTAGAGGTCAGGAGTTTGAGACAAGCCTGGCCAACATGGCGAAACCCCATTGCTACTAAAAATATAAAAATTAGCTGGAAATTGCTTGAACCCAGGAGACGGAAGTTGCAGTGAGCCGAGACCAGGCCACTGCACTCCAGCCTGGGCGACAGAGCAAGATCCACCTCAAAAAAAAAAAAAAAGAAAGAAATTTCTGTGTTTCTAAGCTACCCGGTCTATGCTCTGTTGTCACAGCAGCCTGGATAGACTAAGAGAGTTGGCTTCCCGAGCAAAGGGCCATGTGATTCACCTTGGCATTCCATGCCAAGCACAGGCCCTGGCACGTGGAACTCGCTCTTAAAAATTGAACAAAGGAACTATTCTAAGATAGCAGCTCCAAAGATGGGTTGGTTAGATCAGTGGTTTGGAATCTTATGCCGAATTGCCTGAAAGGCGTGCAGTTTTTACCGTTCCTCCTTGAAACTTATTTTTTGATCAAGCATTCTGAATCAGAAAGATGCTTCCCTGGACTGTATCATTTTGGGTCCCCGTAGAACCATCTTTACTTGGAGGATTAAATGGAAAGGGAACAAAGAACTTTCTAGAAACGTAAATGTTCTTGATTGAAGTCGCGAGGGTGTATCCATTTGCCAAAACCTATTGAGTTGTACATTTATGCTGTGCATTTCATTTATGCAGCTTTTCCCTTAAAAAAAAAAAAAGAGTTCATTGTAGAAAACCAAAAATGACTGCCTTTATTGCTTTGTCATCAGATGATACTGAGGAAGTGTAGAATGTTTTGCCACTCCAATGCACCCTGCAGACTAGCTGGAATCTTGTTTGAAATGCAGATTCTTGGGCCCCACCCCAGAACCACTGCATGAGGATCTGCATGTCTTTTTGATTGTTTGTTTGAGACACTCTTGCTCTGTCACCCAGGCTGCAGTGCAGTGGCATGATTTTGGCTCACTGCAACCTCCCAGGTTCGAGAGATTCTCATGGCTCAAATAGCTGGGATTATAGGTGCACACCACCACGACTGGCTAGTTTTTGTATTTTTAGTGGAGACAGGGTTCCACCATGTTGGCCAGGCTGGCCTCAAACTCCTGACCTCGTGATCTGCCTGCCTTGACCTTCCAAAGTGCTAAGATTACAGGTATACGCTACCAGGCTCAGCTAATTTTTCGTTAAGGATCTGCATTTTTAGCAAGATTCCCAGGTGACTTGTATTCACACCAAAGTTTGCAAAGTGCTAGTATGAAAAATATGTGATCAAAGGAGGGACCTGCAGCTGAGGTCACCCGATGACCGTGTCAGGAGCCCACCCTAGTTCTTCTTGTGCATCATCAAAACATTTCGTACTGAGGATGACAGCTATTGGGGTGCTCAGTAAGTGTGTGTTAAATTAATGAGTTGCCTTTTCATTTGAGACGGTCTTACTCTGTTGCCCAGGCTGGTGTGCAGTGGTGCAATCACGGCTCACTGCAGCCTTGAACTCCTGGGCTCAAGCAGTCCTCCCACCTCAGCCTTCCAAGTAGCTGGGAGGATTGCTTGAGCCCGGGATGCTTGGCTAGTTTTTAAATTTGTAGCACAAGTGAGGTCTTGTCATGTTGGCCAGGCTGGTCTCAAACTTCTGGCCTGAAGTGATCCTCCTACCTTGGCCTCCCAAAGTGTCGGGATTACAGGCATAAGCCACTGCACCTGGCCAATGAATTCACATTTGAGATGGATTTTTGAAACAAATCATGAACATAGTGCCTATTTAAATGTATTGCAAATGCATTTGAGATGAATTTTTCTACTCTATCCCAAGGACCAGGGCTTTAGTTGAGATTTATTGCCTTGGTTATTGTAATAGCCTCCTAATTAGTCCCCCTAATGATCTGGCTTCCCTCCAAGCTTGCCATCTCCAATCTGATGATGTCACTTCATATTTAAACTAATTCTATAACCTCATTGCCGTCAGGAGGAGTTCCAAGGACTCAGCACCGACTCTTGCCTCATTTCCTAGCACCTAACCTCACACAGCCTCTAGTCTCAGTGAATCATGTATAGGTCCCAACTGTATCAGCCTCTTAATGTCTTTTTTTTTTTTTGAGACAGAGTCTTGCTCTGTCACCCAGGCTGGAGTGCAGTGGCACTGTCTTGGCTCACTAACCTCCGCCTCCTGGGTTCAGGTGATTCTCGTGCCTCAGGCTCCTGAGTAGCTAGGATTACAGGTACTCACCACCACATCTGGCTGATTTTTGTGTTTTTAGTAGAGGCATGGCTTCACCATGTTGGCCAGGCTGGTCTCGAACTCCTGACCTCAAGTGAGCTGCCTACCTTGGCCTCCCAAAGTGCTGGGATTACAGGCATGAGCCATTGCGCCCGGCCTCTTAATGTCTTTTTATCTTGGCACTTGCTGTTCCCTCTGCCCAGAATATCCTCCTCCAACTCATCCGTCACACATACCTCAAGCATCAGCCCCTCTGGGAAGCCATGTCCACCCCCTGGTCTGAGTTAGATCAGTCTCCTCTGCTGCCTGGCATCTGGAAGAGCACGTCATAGTGGGAGGCCAGCAAGCCTCGGGGGTCCCATCCATCAGCACAGACACAACAGACCCAAGCTGTGGCGATATGCACTTCCCCATCTGCTAATGACTGCAGACTGCCTGCTTCCGATCACAGCTCTGCAGCCTGCTAGCTCTACTTGACCTCTCCTTTCCTCATCTGCACAAATGAGGTGAAATCAGTACCTATCTCAGAGGATGATTAGTGGGTTAACGTTTGTAATCAATTAAAATGGCAATAAGAACTATATACGAGAAGGAAAAGAAGAAATGAGTCCTGCACATAGCATTCACTCTATAACGCTTTTTTTTTTTTTTTTTGAGACAGAGTTTCACTCTGTTGCCCAGGCTGGAGTGCAATGGCGTGATCTTGGCTCACTGCAACCTCTACCTCCCAGGTTCAAGCAGTTCTCCTGCCTCAGCCTCCCAAGTAGCTGGCACTATAGGCGCCCACCCTACTCCCAGCTAATTTTTATATTATTAGTAGAGATGGGTTTCACCATGTTGGCCAAGCTGGTCTTGAACCCCTGATCTCAGGTGACCCACCTACATTGGCCTCTCAAAGTGCTAGGATTACAGACATGAGCCACCATGCCTGGTCTTAACATTTCTCACTCTACTAAGTTTCTGTCTTTCTAGATAGACATTCTCGTAGAATTTGTCCCAAACAGCATGGCTGTGCCCTCTACAGCCACTTGGTGGCAGTAGCTGTACGTCGCAGAAGAAAGGGAAGGGAGGAGGAAAGGGACCGTTTCCTTTCCTTCCTAATGCGAGGTTGTAATACAGAATGTGTACATAGGCTG